CCCCCCCGCCCCACACACAAAAAAAAAATCCCAACCGTCATCCCTTCCCCGAGAAAAGGGGAACACACACACGAGGCTTCTCCTCATCACCACATCAAACTTAAGCGAAGATTCAAAAATATACATTCAATCACCAAATGGACTAGGATGAACGATTCAATCAAACAATGTTTCTCAATCTTAGAGAACAAACGACTACATGAGTAAGTTTAGTTAATTTCGAACCTAAAACAATTGCGAAAATGGCGACCCGACAAACAACTTCTAAATTAGCTGTCTACTCCGCTTCCACCCCTTAACCACATCCCATCCCTCAATCTTCCAAACTTTTCTTCTAAATTAGAAGTAAACAAGAATAATCATTCTTAACTACAAGACCCAGTAATGAAGAACTATGAGAACAAAAGAATTAGCATTTACAACAGATGGTTATGCAGCAATAGCATCCAACTAATGGAACTTTCTCAAAGTTATGGCACGACTATCCATCCCACAAATGTACTGTGGACAGTTCCTTCTTGCTAGATGAACCCAGCCAAAAGGATACAAGTTTGTCCAAGATTTCTTCAAATAATGAAACCCTGGAAAAAATACCCAGTGCGTTCTACTGTGATGAGGGGAGTAACAATAATATGAAGTAAGAATATGCTACTTGGTTATTCTCGATCTCTATTGTAGTTTGGTCGCCCAAACATCCATAAATTAGTACTACTACCTCATACCAGCCCCTGAATGAATGAATATCTGGTTCCTGGACCATGACATTTTCCTGTTTATCGTCGACATCTGAAGAAGCTCTGGAACAATGTCGAAAAAGAAAGCTAAGTATTGCCTCCTTGATGAAGAACTAGATCTCTTGAAAACTTAAATATTTGTTAAATGGGGAAATACTCATAATATATAATTTAGACATCAGTTATCTCCTCCAAGTTCTTGCAGGAGCTATCCAAACTTCTTCCTTGACAATTGGAGGTCCTAGTTCAGCTCATCCATGAGATTCACTATCTAAACCAGCTGACTGCTTGCGCTACCTATGACTTTTCATCACTAATGGCGACATCGTTGCTCCAATCACATTCCATCGGGACAGCAGAATCTCCATTCTCAAGGTGACGTGATTCCCCAGATTTACAGGTGGCCATCTTAGTCTCATTAAGAGGAACTGCAGCTCGTCCAATTGAAGCATTACTAGAAACAAAAAAAAATTCTTCCATATTAGTATCTTGGTCATCCATATCAATATGGTTTTCATCGGACAATTCAGGCTTGGCACATGCATTTGTCAAACCATTTAGGGTGCTATTCTGGCAAACTTCCCATGAGACATCTTTCTTGGCACATCTGTCCGATGGGCGTTTCCCAAGGAAGCCAGGGGCAAAAAGTGGCTTTAACTTTGGTTCAGAAGAACTCCCTCCACCTGATTTCAGGACCACATTGTGGCTTCCGTGAGATGAAAATTCTTTGTTCTGGTTAGTTTTGCCTGGCATTTGAGTGGAATTTTGTAACTTCGCATTGTCTGAGATGACACCAAAGCTTGAGGCAGAGGATGAAGCATCATCCAGCATATCACCATTTGTGGCTACAGAATCCTCAGTAAATGAAGAACTCAAGAGACGGTCGTTGGTGGTTCTTTGGCATGGTTCAGTGTCATCTTTACTGTCAGAAACAGCGGATTTTGTTTCACGTTTCTGAATCTCAACTTCAGCCGAAGAACTAGCACCAGATGAACTATTGGATACCATTCTAAGGCAAGAAGTTCCTGTAGCTTCACTGGATAGTTTAACATCCTGCAATTCCTGCTGGACATGAGAACTTGCCCTAAAATCTACCTCCTGATGCTCCATTCTGTCCTCAGGGTTGGTTGAGGAGGATAACTCCACTTTAGCCCCAATAATCTTATCTTCTGAACCATTAAAACTTGGCGGTGAAACAGAATCAACAACTGCAGCCGGAGACACTGTTGCGCTGAGACATTCAACAGGTTGGTCTGTGGGACCTGACTTGTCTTCCACTTTAACTGTATCCTGGTCCTCTTTCTTTAATAGTTCAAGAGGAAATAAGGATGTCGGCCGAGGGCAGATCCTGTCAAAAGTAAATACAAATCAAGATCGTTTGCTGCCAAAGGCAATGCAACATGTTAAATAGAAGTGACACGTGTACAGATCAGAATTCAGATCAATTAGATCATGGTCAAAGGAAAGCTACCTGCTATTTTATTTTATTTTTAGGAAAGTTACCTGCTATATAAGAGCATGTATGCTCCCTGCGAAAGCACTTCATCCAAATCAACACTAACCACCTAACAAAAAGTGTAAAATGAGTCACGTATGAACATTTTAAAGTGATGAAGGAAAAAGTATGAAAAGGAAAAATAAATTAAGAAGTATCTATAAGCGGGACATTGTCCAGAGATCATGCTGCTTGAGGTAGAATATTTATTAAGTAATGACTTTTACTAATAAAGCTCAAGCGCTCAACTCCCACAGCACCTATATTTGCAGTTTGACATTGTTGCAGACCCAAACATACATTGAGAAACAACCAAGAGTGTCAAAATCTGTATAGCTTAACAGAGAAAATGGTGTCACATTCTACATGACATCGACAAGGAAAATTTGAGAGAAGGTGGCACAACAAAGAAGGTGCCAATATACCAGTTTCTTATACTTTTTGATTGCATATACTTATACCCAGGCAAGTTTGTATGCATGTCACATTCATGGAGTAGATTATTACCTTCATCTGATAAAACACTTTAAACCTCCACAAGGACAAAAACAAAAGACGCATAAAGTTTTCTGAAGCTTCATTTTTTACTTATGGTACATGATCTTGGGAATGGGCATGTATATAATAGGAGTGAGCAGCTTTAATAACTTCTGGTGCATGCATGAAATACCCAAAGCATGTCACATTCATTCAACCCGAAGTACATCAAGACAAATGGAGCTACCAAAGAAGATATAACTAAGCTACGAGAGAACACAACTAGCTTATAGCCAAAATGCATTTTCAAGCAGAAGCATTAATATGTTTTATCGTCAAACAGATCTATTAGGTAACTAGCATTTGTGAAGCCTAATATAACATTTCACTGGGATATAGCAACTCACATAAATTACCAAGTTCAGAAATAACATTTCACTGTAGATAATCAGCAAAAAAGAATATAAATGGAAGTGCGACAGAGGCAAAATCAGCAACCAATCAATGCATTTCGTGCATTGAGACGCATACAACAATAAACAAGAGGGTAGAACAAGGGAGATGTTTCTACCTTACAATCATCAATCCTGTACCAACTTCCGCGGAAATCCTTGATATAGCATATGTAATGGCCGAAAAATGATGCATTCAACATGTCCACGTGAACAATAACTGCATACAGCTTGTAAATATCATTGCCGTCTCCTGCTTTGCTCACGTACGGATGGAGATCCAATCTTTCAGGGAAACTCACCCTCTTATTCAATTTACCAAACCTACCACTCTGCATAGAGATTTTGACCACAAATAAACAAAACTACAAGAAATTTAGAATACAAACTCACGTAGTTGCTTCCAGGAATAAATGTAACTTGTGGGTGAGGAAGTGGGTGAGGGATGTTAATAGAGAGAAAGACACTCAAATGACTGTAGTTCACCCATACCATAGAGAAATGCAAATTCTGTTTTGCAGTGCTAGAAAAGATATACAGAAATGCTACACTTACAGATTAAATTATCCTTTTGTTTTAAAACCTAGGGTGCATCCTTGTCTCAGTATGTAACCCAACTGAAGAAAAAAGTAAATCCAATAGTCTTTTCATAGTGGCTTTTTAAAATATTACGCGTTTCAGTTTAACTCTAACAACAACGACGACGACGACCCAGTAAAATCCCACAAGTGGGGTCTGAGGAGGGTAGTGTGTAAGCAGACTTTACCTCTATCCCGAGGGGATAGAGAGAGGCTTTTTCCGATAGGCCCTCAGCTCAAGAAGACAAAAATAGACAATATATAAGTACCATCAACAAAATCAGTTTATCTCTAACTTAGGATACTAACGTCTTATCTAAAAAAGCATGTCTGACGAATTAAGTTCATATTAGGTGTCAAATAATGAATTATCCTTTCAAGAACAAAAATAATCTACAGAGTAACGTTGAACACTCCTGAAGAAAAATATTTATGGGAGATTAGATTTGATGTAAGATTTTATTTGTCAGCACCAAGGTACACCTGGAGCCTGTACATCCTAGATTGAACGTCTTTGCTTCACATGGACTTCCATCAGACCCATTTTTTCCTGTAGACTTAAGAGCCTAAGTAAATTCAGTGTTGACATGACTCCATAAGCTTTGGCTGAAATTTTCGTTTACGAGAAATACATATTGACAGTCTCTTTCTTGAGATATTCTCTTTTTGAAATTTTCAGAATACAAATTGACAGTCTCTTTTCACAATTAAGGTGGCGCTCCAGGTTGTTCAACGCCAGAACAATCCTGAAGGACCTGAACATAAAATATCCACTCAAATATTCCAAAGTTAAATGGTGAAAGAACAAACAATTTTGTTCGACTTGTAAGGACCCGCTATCAAAATTCAGGCAATATACACTGACAATAAAAGGCCATTGTTCCCATCATTGGGAACAAACAATTAAATAATTTACAACTTAACATATTGCTGGTGCATGATACAAATCTAAGTAAACTACAGAAAGCCTGTAAACCCAGCTCTTTCATTAAAACTTGTCCACTTTATTGCCTACGGGGAAGTTTTATTGAAAGGAAAAAAAAAAGGTGGACTTCTGTCGATTCCTCCTACG